AATCATATTCGGTTATAATAATTCATTTTATTTAGTAAAACAAATTCAGAAATTGGCGTATCGACGACTATTCGTTAACTGCTCCTTGTCGACTCGCCATCATGATTCAATGAAACGTAACACTCCTTCTAGCTTCTATGTTATAATACTACAATTCTCCAAAATCCGAACACTAATTATTACAAATTTACGAGAACATCCAGTGATTAAAAATTCATAAAAGATAGGGTAAACATAGACGGATGAACTATACTATTCACCTGGTAGGCGGAGTTTAGTCCCATCGTTAAATTTTACTAATTTGTAATTAAATATATTGTTCTTGTATTGCTTAAACAACTTTGAGCAATTCATTATTGAACCTTATTTATAACGAGTATCTTCCTCAATGCTCGTTAACGAGTAAGTGCTTTGTGCAAACAAAAAATATCATTTTCTGTGCCTACACTTTTTACCATATAATATAACTACAATATTTTAAAACTCTGGCAACATTTTGATATTTAAATTTTTTTAGTTCTGCTCCGTGGCGCACTGACGGCTCCACAGAAATCGTAATTGTCCTATTATTACGATTTCTGTGGACGGCTCCGAAGCCCAGTGCATTAGCAATGTTGCGATGCTGAGGGCCGTAGGCTCGTCGAATTCCGCACGAAAAAGCTCTAGTGTGCGGGTAACGTTTAAAAAACTGTATCCAAACACCCCGCGTAAAACAACGCCTTTTCTAGAAAATAATTCACGAGTACATAACACGCAGAAAAGGAAAATAAGTACAAAAATTGGTTGAGATAAATTGTTGCAGACATGAGGACATTATTGTCAGATTACAGATGAAATAGATATACACAGGGTTATTTTGCAATAACCGGCATTTTATTTTATTTTTATTACTTGCCTATATCATAAAAAATGCGTAGTAGTGTATTATTTTAACCATATTTTAACTGATTTTACTGCACACGCAAACATTCGTAAGGGTCGGATCGGTAGGCAAAAACGTCGTTGCCCATAAACCATAATTTTAAATAAAAGTAGAAGCCTTATTTACTTGTATGTTCAAAAACTGCAATAACGGTATATAATAATTTATATAATTGAATTTAAATTTACTCTTTGAAAAATATCCCTGTATAGCATCAAATGCCAGTAGCGGGACGGCGTATAGACGATGGCATACTTTACTCAAACCCAAAAAAAATTTATTTGCGTTACTTCTTGTACACTATAACAAGCGCAACTAACATTTTTTCATTGCATCAATATTCCGCGCTGTAAGTATAATGCTTCTCAAAATTTTAAAGCAACGTATATTTCAATGGAGGTCTATCTCAGCCTTGGTCTCAGTCGATTTATGTTTTCTTTAGGTTCAAGCTATTTATTTTCTTATGCTTGTTTTCTTGGTTAATTTTAGTATTTGTGAGTGATTTTATATTTATTATATAATTATGGCAGTAGGTTCAGAACTAGGTATATTAAAAATTACTAAAAAATACTACTAAGTAGACTATTTAAAATATTCTCCGCATCTAGCTGTAGGATTTTTTTGTTCTCCATTAACCTTCTATTAACGGAATACAAAGTGTAATTAATAATTATTCCTAGAAAATTGTTGCTTTCTTTTATTCAAAACAACCACGTGTTAAATAAAATAATTAAGAAAAAATATCTAGTGAGCATACAATTTTAAAATTTACCTGCATATATATGTCATTATTAAATATTATGTTATGTCACATATATTAGGTAAAAGTGAATCAGATAATTTACTTGAAAATTAAAAAATATATTTATAACGGATGAATAATATTAATGACCAATGAATGAAACGCATCATGAATATTTTTTTTCGTGGAATTAGAATACAGACAACCTGTATTCCGCCTATGTGACCTTTTTGTATCCGGTATCGGTCAAATACAATAGACGGATACGGAACGGAAAACCCTTACTGGACTTCTGGTACTCAACATCTTAAATGTCAAAATCAGATTAGTCCTGAAAACAGTGTGCAGGGTGTTGGTCACACATTCATTTTAAATAGTTAAAATAAAGAAACCGTTAAAAAATGTTCACTCGACGAAAATCAGTTATGTATAAAAATTGTGTTTCTGGATATACCTATTATAAAAATTCATTTGGTGAACATGCTTTAAATTATATTAAAGTAAAAATAAAAAAGACACTTAATATTTTATTTAGTTAAAAGGAAAAATATTTATGATAAAAAATCGCTCGTCTAGTTCTTTATAAAAATTGTTATAAAAACTTTAGGTAAACTATTTCAATTGGTCCAAATTTGAGGCGTTTAACGCAACAAAAATATTGATCTTGTAAAATAAAATAACGATAACTTGTTCGCTTTATTTGAGAAATGCTGATAATGCGAAGTGGACATTCGTAATCTAATAGTGATTCTAACCTCGGACAAGGAACGCATTCTGTAACAAATGTTTGACGTCAAACAATGGGAGCGGGAGGGGCGGGGGCGGAGTTTGTTCTTCGCGGGAGGTAGGTGTTTTTTTTTAAAAATTTTAAGGGGGGGGTGGGTTTGGGCGTTCTGCTTTTTTCTTTTGTTTTTGAGCACCAATGTAAATATTATATTTTGTAAAATCTTCACAATATATCGTAAATTGCAAAAGACACGGAAAATAAAGCAAATATAAATTTTACAAATTTCGAAGAGGTAAATGATAACAAAAGCCGATATGACAATAGTGTTTTGGAAATGAAAAGTATAAACATAACTTATTTTGCAATCGTAATCGCAATTAATTTGATATTTTTTAATATAAAAGATAAATGGATAAGCAATTGATTTTTTCCTTGACGTATCTAGGCATTTGACCGAGTCTGGTACGCTTGCCTTTTAGGCAAATTTTCATCGTACGAGTTATCTTGTGGTCTTATAGGGTGGGTGAAGGACTTTTTGAGCGGACGTTCCCTCTAAGTCGTTCTAGATATCCACTCTTCTAAAATAAAGACGACTAATGCCGGAGTTCCTCAAAGGTCCATTCTCTTCGCAACTCTATTCCTGGTGTTTTTTCAATTAAAGGCAATGTGTCACGACCTGCTTATACCGATATGGTTATGCAGACATCAACACAGTCGGGATCAAATCAAATCGAATCCGTAAGTTGAGTTATGTTTGAGTGTGCAATCTGTCGCTGCAGGTATTCTTCGAATGGAGCGAAGTTAATTTTGTGAGATTGAACGCCCCAAAAACATCGCACACTCATCCCACTCTTCACCACAAAAAAGAGCCAGCTAGTCTTAGCTCCTTTTTTGCACTTTGAACTTTGGGTGGCACATTTAGTTCAGTGCGAAATTAGCTGCAAGGATACTAAGCGCCACCTAGCAACTTCGGATACAAGCTAAATGCTTAATTGGTAACCTGACACTAGTTAAAGTCAAACCAGTCTCGAATACAATTGCAAAATAGCCATCCATTCGTAGTTTAACAGGATATATTTTAGAGTGATGATATAATTCCTTCCTTTCCCTTTCGAACAATCAGACGCTCGGCCAGTCCCCACCATTTCGTTGTCGACATACCACGCATTCGAACCGAACGGTTTAATTCGTCGTTCTTGTGCGTACCGTTATGGAGTGTAACAATCTGCCAGTATTTGTCTTTCTTTACAATGTGGGTGTCTTCAAAGCAAGATTGAATAGGTTTTTTTTTAAGATAAATTGGTACATTTCACTATCTCCAACTACATCGCCATTTACCATCAGGTGAGATGGTAGATAAACATTGGCTAGTTAAAAAAATAATAGCATGCAATATATCAGCGTGCTATATACACTAAAATGTCTTTAAGCTGTAATGACTAGTGGACGGTTTTCACATTTCCATTGACTAGAAGAAAAAAAATAACGCAGACAAATAAAGAGTAGTAGTAGTCTATTCGGAAAGAGAACCGCCAAGGAATTTGCGAGTGCCAAAGTGTAAAAGTTGGCACTGTGATTATGAAGTGTGATGATGTAAATGAGTAACGGCATCTACTTATTATCGGTAGGCTGGACTGTGTGATCGTCCTTACTCCCATGAAAACCTGCAAGCAGCTTTTGATACCCCGGTCGGTACCTGCAGTATCGAACATTTTTATTTATTTATTTATATAAAATTATTTAGGTTAGGACACAAACATATACTTACGTAGTTTGAAAACTATGTCTGTGGGATGATTAGTTATATAACTTCCCATTTGGTAGATGTTACATTCAGTCCCATTTTCGCAATTCCATGTTTTGCCTAATTAAGCCCGATTCTACATGTTTCAATAACAATGTTAGTGTGTGTGTGCTCATTTCACAGGTAAATTTGAATGTTCGTATAATAGTAAACTTTTTCATCTCACATAACAAATACAAAACTAAACCTTTTTATGTAATGTAATTTATATTTAACAAGGTATTTATTTAAATCAAAGAATCCTATTATGTTTTATGTCCTATACAATATTATAAATATGAGTCTATAATTTGTCACTTCAATCAAAATTTAGTCGCTGGACGGATTGTTATAAAATTTGACCAAGAAGTCAATCACGTAGTAGACAAGATATTTTCTATAACAATTATTACGAAAGTTTAATCCAGGCCAAGTGAAGCGGACGAACAACTAGTAAAATTAAGAAATATTCTGTAACTTTATTCCACCACGGCTGTTATCTCACCGAACAGACTAATCACACTACTCTCATACTTCTTTTAACAAACTTTTAAATTTCAACAAAATATTTCAGAAATAAAAACAATGACCTTACGATTCTCAATAAACAGTATAACATTTTATTGAGGGGAAAAAGAGTGTACTAATATAAAAAAGGCAACATTTAATTGTACAAAAGCGAGCAGGAGATAAATAAAAATAAGTAGTGCAAATGGGTACATTTCACAACTACCCGCAACCCAAAAATATCTTTATAAATCTCCTCCTACCCGCAAAATAATAAAAATTGAGATTCAACCTAACAGAATCATATCACCTAAGACCTTTACCGTATGCTTGTACGAAGGTCCATCAAGGCACTCGCTGTTATCACCCCGTGCTTTTGATTTAATGTCCTTCCCATATATTCAGCGTCCCCTCCTATGGTGATAGTGGAAAACGATGTAGAGTTTCTTCTACTTTGCACCATCTTTTTCCCCCCACTTATCAATCCCTCTGGGGGACTTTGCCTCGTTTGCAAATAGTCACCGTGACAGTGGGAACTTTCCCAATCATGGCTTCTACTTTCAAAGAGTTTAGTTGCTCGCATTGGTTTCGGAATGGCCTGATCCGATCGGTATTCTTTTAACGGTCTCTCCGGTCTTTCTGGAGCTTTCATGGTCTTCGGTCTAGCCTTTTGGTCTGCAGATACGCTTAGCTGTTTGGACTTGTACGTTCTAGTAATTTCTGTGGCTTCGTGGAAACTTTTACTGCTTTTAGTATTGCTGTGGACCGTTGATTGTAGAGCGTGGGGTTTGCTAAAAACGAAGAGTTAGATAAGTAGTATACAAGAGTTGGAAATGGATATAAACCTACAAACTTTATTTTATTTAATTTATTTTTTATAATAGGAGTGACTAGCGAGAAACCAGTCCTCCAGTGAATGCTGTGGCCCATAGACGTCTACATCCATCTTCGATTGAGTATGAAACTGTAGACGCGTTGTCATCCCTGAGAACTAAGAAAGAATGCTTCGCCACATGTATAAAAAGGATCTCCAGATTTCTGCACTCACCATAAGAAACACAGCAGCATTAAGTTGCTATTTTACGATAGTGTCTTGTAAGAGCTACCCCGGTCAAGTCGACACATATATAGATCCAGCGTGGCTTTACCACGTGAAAAGAAGAATAATAATATATACGTTCGACTAATCTTCGATTCGTGTTTCACTCTTGTGTATCTGGATGATGATAATCATCATCATAATTATCATCATCATCATTACAGACCTTCACTCGTCCACTGCCGAGCAAAGGCCTCCCCAAACAATGCCACAAAGCACGGTCCTGAACCTACATCCAGGATGTCACTCTATTTAGTGGGCGATAGCAAAACTCCATTTAATGGCGTAGACAAAGTGCAAGGCGACCCGCCCTGCACTTTGCCTACCGGTGTACGAGGCTGCCACTCGAGAACCTTTTTTCCGCCTATATACGTTCGACTGATGTGTACAGGCTTCCTCCCTGAGAAAGTAATGGAGCAATTATACTTCCGCGCCGCTCCAGTGCGTATTGGTGAACGAAATTAAAAACGAATGCCAAAAGTTCTTATACCTTCCGATAGATGGCGGTAAAACCATTTTGTCACATTAATCCCAGGTGGATAAAGAGCCTATAACGAGTGACGATCAAGGCAAACCTTCTCTACAATAGGTAGGGTCATATCCAGCAGTGGATTTTGCGGGCTGATGAAGGAGAAGAAATCTGCATGTTCAGTTACTTAAGTCATATATTTGTCTAACACAATTTATTTTAGGGTCAATAGGTTGTAGGGTTCATTTAACGAATAGGGTTTCCTCTGAGTTCCAGTCCCACCCTTTCAATAATTTATACAGTAAAATAGCACTACATCCAATGTATTGTTCCTGATTTGGAAGGTATTAAGAGCCAGGATAGTATTAAAGACTACTTGGAATCCCTCTGGGTTCTTTTTTATAAAAATGAAGTGACAAACGAAAGTATGTACCACGACTCGTCTCGTATTTACGCCAGCCAGATTACTCGCGACAAAATCGAGTTCACAAAGTAATTTCGTCTCTCAAAACCGTAGCGCTGAATGGAATGGTGGTTTAAATTGGAATTATCAAAACAGAAGTGTTCATCTATCAGTCGCTAGATGGTGTAATCACAAGTGATGAGCCAGTTAAATTGTAAGCTGTGAGGCTTTCCATTAGACATGTGTCAATCATTCATTTCTCGTGACCGAACCATTCTACATTCGGACCGATCATTCAAATGGATCATTTCAGACTCCAGTACCCTACACAGAGTCAAAAAGGTTCTGTCGATTGTTTATGATTGGTTGTACCGGCATCCGGAACATTCATTAAACAGATGAATGAACCATCAATACTTTTAAGTGTACCACCTCAAACGAACGAATCATTCATGATTGACACATGTCTACATTCCTCCTTTGTCCTTAGAGGTGACAACGTACCTGTAGCTTTCTTTGTTTGATGTTGGCTACGGGTTTCTAGACAGCAAAGGTAAAGGTAGGTAAGTCTACTTACCTACCTTTACCTAGCCTTAAGTATTGACTTACCTTTAGGTAGAATAAGTTCATTTGCTACTTAAGTTTAATAAAAAAAAATCATACATCAACCAAATCCGCATCTGCATTTTGATTCTATTACAGCTACAGATGTCTACGGGCCACATCATTCACTTACCATCAGATGATATATGTGCTCGTTTGTTTAAACAAAGACTTACTCCTACAAAAATTACATACCTGGACAGACTCTTTCTCATTGTCCCATTACTTCCATTTGATCCCTTGGCCATAATGCTGTACAGTTTGTTTCTATAGTCATCCACCGACATCTGCTTGTCATCTCTCAAAGGCAGGAGAACGTCTGAAGGTAGCGTTGGTTCATCGCGTTCGCGGTGGAACCTTGACGTTTTTGATGGTATTTAATATAGAGTAAAGAGTGTACCATCCTATTTTCTAATTTAATAAACGTTACCTTCACACTAGGATTTTCTCCTGTATCGTATCGTCGTCCTGTATTCACAAGGACAAACGAAACAGACCCGAACAATGATTTCCAGGCCATACAAATACTTGTTCTATGCGGGATTCGAACCCACGACCCTTAGCACCGCAACTCATTGCTAAGCCATTTCGCCACGGAGCGTGGTTAATATCCCCCCCCCCAGCATCAGGCAAAAAAGGAGCCCTATGTTCTGCAGTGGACTTGTGACAGGCTGTAGCAGTAACGACCTTGACAAGATAAATAAGCATTGCTTCGGTACATATTCCTTACTACTATATGAATTTTTCTTTCCTCGCCACTTTTTCGCTAAAATTGAAGCACTTATCGGGCAATATACGAGTATCTAAACACTCGCTTGGCAAAGTATTTATGACGTTTTTTTCTCGCTTTAAACCAAATAATTACCGAGCAACCGCGAGTCATGGCCTTAACAACATACTCAGCATTCATTCGGCGTCATTAAAATGGTATATGGTATCAATGGTCTAAACTTTAAATGTCCCTACGGTAAGTCAAAACACTAACCGGCCAACGATCTTAAGCTCTCTTGAATACTATAAGTATTTACTGGTAATATAATTTAAAAAAACTCACTTGGCAACATATTCATGGTCCAAAGCCCTTGCAGCGCTGAGGCGCTTCGCAGGATTGAACACCAGCAAGCGATGGACCAAATCTGCAGCATCTCGTGGTGCACAAGAGAGTAAAGAAACTAGAGATACCGCACCCGAACTTGAAGCGGCTTGCTCGCGGATCAAGGACGATCCGTACCCACTGCATACGGATGTAATATCTGGAAATGTATGGGGTAATTTTAAATTGAATCATTCAATACGATAAATAAAACTAGTACTAAAATTTAAAAATAATCTTCTAAGCTAAAGGTGCCTGGTTCATTTCTGAGGGGGAATAGAGGGCATAGAATCCATTTTTTTACATAGATTAAGGGTTACAAACGAGCACACAGTCCACCTAATGGTAAGTGGATGCTGTGATAGACAACTACATTTATCCTCGATTAAGAATAAAACTGCAGATGTGTTGTCACCCCTGAGAGCTAAGATTGAATGCCTCGTTTCCAGTAAAAAGGATCTCCGGCTCTCTCACTCACTCGCTATACGAAACAAAGCAACCTTAAGCTGCTATTTCACGCTGGAATTCTGTGAGAGTGGTTACCTACCCCGGTCGAGACGACCCATTCCTGCTACAACCATAATATAAGCTAGCTTTACCACGTATAAATGTTAAGGTACATTTATATTATTTTTATAAATTATTCGGAAAAATCACCTAAGTTCAATCAAATGCAATCGGCTACACCTTGCTAGCCCTGGTAGGCGGCTAAAGCTTGGTGTAACCGCAGTATAGTTTCTTCTTCATTATAAGCATGTGGAGGCTCCGCGGCTGTACATCGGACCTCTTCCATAGTAGGGATACCTCAATCGTCACACAGGCATGCGAATTGACGATGGCAGTATCAGATGTCTTACACCTTTGACGCTTTAGCCACATGAGTAGATAAACGGAGCAGAAGCTTCATACAACCGCGCGAATCGGTTGCACTACTACAAGCACGCGGGGCATGTGTGCGTGACCACTGGCAGCTTGTCGCGTACGCGCGGCCACGTGCGGCGAGACTGTAAAAAGCCGGTTACGCTGGCACCGCAGGTGGACAAACTCAGGGTCAGTGCAACGCACGTTGTTTGTTTTGTTAATTGCAAGTTTGAATATTCTAATGTAAAAACGTGGTATTATTAACAATAGTTGTTTATTTTAATGTGTGTATGAATAATACTAGAAATCACACAGTGATATGCGATGAAATAATTTACTTGAAGTATATAAGCGCCCGGTTCACTATTTTTTCGACAAAAAACAATGTGATACTTTTTAAAACAAAATATCTTCCATCATACTTTAACTATCCCAAGGGGTAACAATAGGTAAGTAAATAAACGTTTATTTTATTGTATGATCCTTTTTTTACTTTTTTAAGGAGAGGCAACAAAAAGGTTTTTTGTTATTACAAGCTTTTACTAAACATTTGTAGGTATGTGGGTGGGTTGGTATGTAGTAGGTATGTTTGTTTTGTTTAATTTTCTTCAACTGTTATGACAACCCTACCAAAATAGGTAACAATTTTGCACGTTCTTGAGCTTTGTCTCTGTTCCGTTTATCTACTTATGTGCTTTAACTACAGTCTAGGTCTGCAATTTTACGTCTGGCGTAATACCGCCGTCTATCAAAAGCAATAAGAAGTTTTTAGATATTTTTCATAGTCTATAGACCTCTTACGACACCCACGAGACGAAATGGGGTGATGGACTCTCTTATTCCGCCTTACACGGCATATAGTATTTTGCAAATATCTACTAGACTACTAGTCGCAGCCGCTTTCGGCTACAGCGACCATTTTTGGCTCCAACATCTAAGCCTTACTGCTCCGCCAGTTCATGTGCTCGCAAGTGACTAGCATAGCCGATATTAGCGAGAAAATTGCGAGCAAACTTAGGGCTTTGTATAGCCACAGATGGTCGGGTTTTAAGTTCCCCGCGTTTAGTATCTAAATCCTGTAAGCAATTGGCTTCGAAAGTGTTGAAGTACTAGAAAACACATAAATTATCACAATTCTTTACCTTCTGAAGATGGTCTGGGCAAGGCAGCCATTATCCTCTCGATCTGATTCACAGTGGACGTCCCAGGGAACAGGGGGCTTCCGGTGAGCATCTCGCCCAGGATGCAGCCAAGCGACCACATATCGATGCCTTTTGTATAGCTGCGAAGAGATGGTTACTCGTTCTTTTTTATAGTAAGAGTGACAAACGAGCACACAGTTTACCTGATGATAAGTGAATGCTGAGACCAATAACTACCTTCACTTAACCTCGTTTAGGAATCAAACTCCTTAGGACTTAAGCGAGTCACAAACTACGCTGATACGATAATATACAAAATTATACATTCACTGTATAATTTATGTCATCATAACTTATTATGTAACATAAACTCTAACACCTTTTACGTGTCGCGACACTTAACTCTAGCGTTGAACAAAACGTGGAGGGAATAGCTGCGAATGTCGTATCAGTACGGGGGACGGAATGCGACTGGAGAGCCAATCAGCGCGTGCGAACGATACGCACAGCCAATCATACGCAATAATGCGCAATACGGTCAGTAATGCGCAATAACGGTCACCGCTAGACTTTCGTGCTGCGAGTTGTACCCTAGTCAGAAGTATATCGACCAAATTGGTGGTATATTGAAGATGGACCAAATTTAAAGTGCCCTTAAGCGACGAGCATGTATGCGTTGGTATATGGATGTGAAACAAGCGAGAGAGGTGTGTTAGGATCGTACTAAATAGAAGTCCGTAGTCTCTGCCTACTCCTCTTGGTAACAGGCGTGAGAGTTTAGTTATTATCATCCTGAAATTGTCGTGTACAGGAATTGTTTTTTAATAATAAGGTATTGTTGAAGCTCCACATGGCGCAATCGCAGTACCAGACTTCTCACACCTTTGATACTGCTGTTAAGAGAATGGGGCAAAAATGTAAGAGTTCCTTGCAGGACAGCATAGTACGTTCTACTTCTTCTTCTAGATCAGTCCTCGAGGATACTTCAACAAAGATTTAGACACGATATCTAAATGGTGAATCTCACCATCATCCTTCACAGTTAGCTACCGTGGGTAAATCTTTGTTTCAGAGAGCACGAGGGATCTGTGACAGAAAACATCTGGCCGCCGATCTTCAGCATGTCAAACAAGTATTGCAAGACAAAAAGCTTCGGGTCCCGCGCCTACGTCACAGTGAACGAGTGAAGCCGGCCACAGTCAAGCGCGCGCCTGCTGTACTACCGTATGTTAGAGGAGTCACAGACAAGATTGGCTACATCTTGAAGCGAGCGTCCATTAAAACATACTACAAGCCGCCGAAGAAGATTAGTCAATTTTTACCATCCATCAAATACAATATTCCTCTACACGATGCAGGTGTATACAAGCAAGATTGTGAATGTGGTCTCTCTTACATAAGTCAAACAAAAAGATTTATTAAAACCCGCGTGAAGGAACATATAGCTGACATGAAGCACCGACGCTCCGGGAAGTCTGCAGTCTGCGAACATGTTCAACACAAATCCTCGCAAAAGAACACCGATTCCTACCAAGGATGATACGCGAGGCTATTGAAATTAAAAAAACATCCAAATTTCAATAGAGAAGATGGATGGGTGCTGCCAGCTGCTTGGGATCCTATAATTTACAAAATTAAACCCAAACCCAAGCATACCACTGCAAGACTTTTTGATACTATAAGCTCATTTTGCGTAAATCGGACCAAAAATTAATATTCAAAAACTGAAGGTAGCCGGACTATGACATTGGGACGTCAAACATCTCAGTCCCCCCGTGACCACGGGTGCTGTAAAGCACCCGAAACGTCGGGATAACAAAAATAAATTAAAGTTGAATTAAACGCGATAAAATCCGTAAATAATAGTTTTATTCAATTCATTAGTCACTCTTGTTCTATAAAAAAATACCCGAAAACAAAATGGCCAACTGGTGCCCGCGTCGCTTAAAGAGCTCTACAACCCGAAAAATGCATTTTTCAAGTGGTTTAGGCAAATGAGAAAAGCTATATACCCCGAGGTTTACATGCTATGACACTTGAGATGGCCTAATCGTCTGTACTTGTTACGAGTTACTGTGTACGTACGAGTTAAGTAAGCGTGTGACTACATAATAAAAAAAAATAAGAAAGCTAGTGTAGCTTCGTAAAGAAAAGCGCAAGTATAGTGCTGCGAACTAATTTAGGAATACTTATCGATAATTTCTATATATTCATAATGATCATAATATTTAAAAGTTAATAAAAATAAATTAATGGGATACCATATTTATTAAATATTTATTTTTTTAATAATATAACATACTTTTGTCACATATTATCTGTTTTTTTTAACGCAGTGTGCTTTTATAGGGCGTGTAAGGCATATAAGACATAAAAGTACCCTGCGCCTTCTAAAAAGACTTAACGATGATCCCTTTGCAATGATTTTTAAAGCCGATTTCGATTTCAAGTCGAAGCCGAAAAATTCCCGCGCATTTTCCTGCTTGATCTTAGGATTACCATTACTGTGGTTGTAGTTGTGGTTCTGGGTGGATATCGATCCCCTCCGGTATCAATTATATTATTTATAGCAATTTTAAGTGTCCATTCATCTAATCAAATCTGAGAAATAAAATAGTTTGAGAACATATGACCTCACTAACTAGTTGATCACGCTCTCATTAATGAGAGAGAGAGAGAGAGAGAGAGAGAGAGTATTTAGACTGTAATTTAAAAATATATTTTCTATATATCGATAAAGCGTGACAAATATTTGGAACGGCACTAGACTACTGAATCAATACGAAGCATGCTTCACTGCCCATCCTTTGCTTCATCTACCATAGTAGTGAGCAAAAACTTACTTTTTACTGGCGATTAGTATCTCCGGGGCTCTGTACCAGCGTGTGGCAACGTAGTCTGTAAGACAAGGGTCTGCACCTTCTTCCCCGCCAGAATACACGCTAGACACCGACCGCGCTAGTCCAAAGTCCGCTAGCTTCACCCTGATAATGTAATTTCCTATTTCTATATTCTGGTTTAGTAAGCGAGCAAGAATTCAATTGATAGACAGTAAGAAGGCTACAAAGATGAAACGTAACATTAATTTTTTTTATAGAATAAGGGTAATAAACGAGCACACTGTTCACCTGATGGTAAGTGGATGCTGTGGTCCATAGACATCTACATATATCCTTGATTAAGAATCAAAATGCAGATGCGTCGTCACCCCTGAGAACTACGATGGAATATCACGTTTCCAGTAAAAAAGGGTCTCAGGATCTCTACACTCACCATACGAAACACAGCAGTATTAAGCTGCTATTTTACGCTGGTAACCTGTGAGAACGTGGTCCTTCCCCGGTCGAGCCGACCCATTCGTGCTACAACCATAATATAGGTGCAGTGTGGGTCTACCACGTACGAAACTAACTACGTTATCACTTTAGAAATAGTCCTATTTTTTTATATTATCATGTTACGTGGTAGAGCCACGCTGCAGCTATATTATAGTTGTAGCACGAATGGTTCGGCTCGACCGGTGAAGGACCACGCTCTCACGCTCGTGAGTATAGAGGACCGGAGTCTTTCTGGAATCGAGGCATTCCATCTTAGTCCTGAAGGGTGACAACGCATCTGCATTTTGATTCTTAATCAAGGTTAAATGTATATGTCTACGGGCCACAGCATCAACTTGCCATCAGGTTGAATGTGTGCTCGTTTGTCATCCTTATTCTATAAAAAAAATTAAAATAGGTGGCAGGGCGTCTTTTCTGTCTAGAAGTCCATGTGGGTAGATTAAAAAAATTTATTAAAACAAATTCATTATTATTATTATATGGTATGTAATAATAGATAAATTTATCTTTATTATACTCATTGAATTATGTGTACTACGTACTAGAGAAGCTATTCCAAACAAAAAATGTGCACTACCCTGTATCCGTGTATGCGCGGGAAACAGTAGAGTCGCGCATGCGCAGTTGATATAAACGCGCGAAAATAGTCATAATAAATAATTGTTCACTTAGATTGTATTGTTAATCGACTACATTTTTTTAATTTTCGTTTATTTTGCATATGTGTTAATTTAATATAAAATTATTATTAGCGCCGCTCCGCACTGCATGAATATCGAAGCAACAATAACAGGTGTATGGATTGCAGTACAGTTCAGTTGAACATAGTGAGTGTTCGGAATGCGAAATCTAGTGCGTAGTACATATATATCGACGATTATGTCATTGTATTTATAATTAGATGCCACCCTCTTGCCTATGTCTGCCGCAAAGCATCAGTGCCTGCTATACTGTGTTTTGGTCCAAAACGTATAGAGAATGTGTGGCATTCCAGATTAACCTTCGGAGGTGACAATGCATCTGTGTTTGATGCTTGATGTTGGTTGCAGGTGTCCTTGAGCTGCAGCGGCCATTTACCACAGGACTTTGAGTTCGTTTGTCACTTCAATTTTGTAAAAAAAATCACCTCCATTCTGAGCTTAACCATAAAATGTCATCTTTTTTAACCTGTTACTTTCAATTGAGATTAAACTCCTCTATTTAAACGAGAACTTGTCGTAAACACAACGAATGGCAGGCACAGTAGCGACCGAAGTACCGAACGAAACAGAGGTTGCAGTTCTATATTTTTAAGGCTTAAAAAAGATAATAAGACCGCCATCTATACCAACAAATCTTTACAATTATCATAGCCGCTGTTTCTTGCATCACCACCGGCATGAAATGATAGGTTCTACATTTAATGTCTATGCAGGATTCGTTAGTTATCTCATCATCATCACCACCACCCAGCAGTACACTGATGAAAGTAGGTCCGGCGTATACGTCAGAGGAGATGGTTATTCGGTCATCATTCAGTGTCTGTCTGTATGTCCTTTGAATTGGTAGTAGACTTATTGACTATTATGTCCATGAAACCTGAGTTCTTCGTAAATGACCATTAAAATTTTTGTCCAATACCCACTACACCAAACCTTCCAATGGGTAACACCCAAGAGGCGATAAAGGGCAACAAGGAGATGACAACTGGCAACTATGCCGAATGTGAGCCAATTTGTGGGGACCTATATGTTCAGCAGTAGACTTTGAGAGTCTGTAACGGATCATTTAAAATTACAACTTCAGTGTTGGGGGCGGAGATTGTACTTGAACTAGCGTCCTGCAGTTACCTACCTCTACAACACGTAACATAATTAACGCACTTTGAGAAAGTACTTTGTTCAGAATCGTTTACTGAATCGATTCCTATCATTTTTAATATAGGTAATTTTTTATCCCAAAAATAATTAAAACTACGTAAATTACAGTCACACTAAATCTGTCTACAGTCAAAACAGACTGAAATGGACCGTAACTCAAGGCAATAAGACTTTTAAGAGTGCAGTTTTATTTGTATCATTACTAATTCCGTCATTCAATAAAAATAAAGAAAAATAAACTTTATTTCAAACACGTTAAAGTCTTTGCGTTCGTGGATTTGTACTGTGACCACAACATTCTTCCGGAATTAGTATAACTAATTTGATAAATAATCAGTGCATAAAAATGTTTAACTAAAAATTCAGTGTGTGTATTATGATTATAACATAATATACTAATTGGGGTGTCTGAGGGTGTGTGTTAATTAGGTTACATATTGCCAGGCCTCCGGAGAAAGCTGAACACAGTCAGGCTTTTTGGTTGCATGTCCAGCCAAATTAGACGGTGTCCAGCCTGTCTGACTTTTGTTAGGCTTTTTAAATTTGACTATTTTAATACATTTTTCATGTACTTACATACTATTGCAATTATTAAAATTAATATTGTAATGAATATTGAACGACAAATAAGACTGATTTATTCAATTTTATTGTTATTACCTGGATGACCGAGCTTTCCTGGGTATTTTTTTTTTGGAAATTATATTTACTTAGATACAAATTACATACTGATGAAACATTAATAATATTTTTTGATCTTATTGACATAACAGAAAAAACTGAACTAGTTATTTGAATAAAAAATCATGAGTGCAATTAGTTTAATTTAAAATTTTGTATTTTTAAAAAATACAAAAAAAAAGAGCTCGAAATAATAAATTTTCTCACAAAAAGGAACTTAAAAAAAGGAGATAGTGGAGCCAGAAACAGGACGCGAACCACGGCACTCCGATATCGCGCCCGACCGACATCTCACCTGAGCTATTACCATCGTTAGTAATCTGTCAAAATTCACCTTCTTATATTGTAACAGTTTTTTTATTGCCTGAAACACGGACAAAAGGACATTTTCTATAAATGAATCCTAGCTAGATCGATTTATTGCCTCCGAAAGCCCCTGGACACTAAATTTTATGAAAATCGTTGGAGCCGTTTCAGAGATTCCGATTATATGTATATATATATATATATATATATATATATATATATATATATATAATAAGCTACAATATATACAAGAATTGCTCGTTTAAAGGTATATGATAGGATTTCATTAGAATTTAAGAAGATTTAATGGCAAATTAAAGTAAAACAACACTTTCTCGTTTTACTTTAAAAAAAATTGTCATGTTATATACTATGACTAAAAAGTTTTAAGGCCTGGCAACCCTATTCGATATGAGTTTTTAAATTCAACTTTAAAAACTAAGAGTTTTATCTTGGAGACTGTTGTGACACCTAAAATCAGTGTACTGTCTCTTTAACGTCACCACTACTTCGTAACACGTATTACTTGTCTAACCTGCAAGCGCTGTCTATGAGGACATTGCTCGGTTTCTGGTCCCTGTGTATAACGTTCCCCGAGTGGATATACTTGGTCGCCTTCAGCATCTGGTACATGATGTAGCGCTTGTGTATATCCCTGAGGATGTTCCCGCGTTTGATCACGTTGTGCAGATCCGTTTCCATGTACTCGAAGCCGAGGTAGATGTCGCGATTATTCAACGCCCTAAAATCAAAGTTATAATAAAGTGATCAATTCAAAAAATGATAAGTTTATATAAAGAGCCGTAGTAGCTCAGATGGTTAGCGCTCGCTGTAAATTTCACAGTACGCGAGCAACCCGGGTTCGATCCCCTCTGGCACCAATGAAATTGTTAATTACAATTTTAAGTGCTGATTTACCACGTGCTCGGTGGTGAAGGAAAACATCTTGAGGAAACCTACATGTCTCAGAAATAAAAATAAAATATTTCGAGGACATGTGAAGTTCGCCAACACGCATTGGGGCAGCGCGGCGGCCACTTCCTTGCCCTAAAACCCTTTCAGAAATGAGGAGGCCTGTGCCCAACTGTGGGACGTATATAGGCTGTCTTTACTTTAAAGTGATCAATTCAGGCTAACCTACAAAATAGATCACGTTTATTCGCTGGTAATCTTAATGAATACCAGCACAAAGTTACATACATGCATACATGAATTCTAACGCCTGTTACACAGAGGGGTAAGCAGACTCCAGACTTTCATTTAGCACGACCCAGACACAATACACTCGCTTTTTTCACATACATATTGTGTGCATGTATATCAATGCATACCTACATGTTAATTTGGCTCAACTTCATTATATCGGCAATTTCGTCAGTATACGGCATCCCTAGCCGACTCTACCACTCACTTCTGCAGCATGAGTTTGCTTTGTGGTTCTTTCCACTCAGTCCACCTGATTTAAATTGAATATTGGGCTTCGTAGACACATACACCTATATCTATCCTCGATTACGATGTGAATGGTGAAGATTAAAAAATGAAGATGCAGACTTCCGAGATTTCCAGTAAAAAGGGTCTGCGCTTCTCTACATTTGTACACTAAACATTACATATAAGCATTAAGTTGCTGTTTTACGCTGCTGTTGTGGTATTACGTTAACGGTTACAGTAGCGTTATTCTTTAAGAGCGTGGTCGTTCCCTGGTCGAGCTGAACCATTTTGATTAAAAATAACTATAAACAACGTATAGAACTTCTGAACAACTTGACAGATTGAGGTCATATTCACACAATATGTTTTATTTTGTCAAGACGAGAGTTCAATAGGTGGCGCTGTAGTCAATTTATTAACAAAATCTGTATAATTTACGCACCAGAATAATACATATTCACTATATAACATGTCATAATTTAGAGTCAAAAAATAAAATGCCATCAAAAACATAACTTTAAAAAAACAAGTCTCGCACCTCAGTTCTTCTACCGTAAAAATTTATGTGATCCATGTAATACCAAGTTGGTTAATTTATTCAGTTCCTACTTAAGGGTCGTAAGTATTACGTAATTAGCTAACCTAACAACATTTTATAGTGACCATATCAATGTAAAAAATCTTTTAGTTTTAAATATATAGATTGATTTGGCCATCGCATGAAAACACAATGTACCTTACAAGTAATACATATTATATTAAATTAGATTGCTTAATGCGATTGCAAAGTCAATTCAGGCTTCTAGTTTTAATAACTACGAAGTTATAGGGGGTCGAAAATGGCCTGAATTGCTTCGAGAAAAGTATGGTACGGCCGTGCCGCTTTTTTGCTCGACTTGGCGGGGGCACTGCCGTGCCCCCAGATCACAAAATCTGGACCCGACAGGTGGCGCTTTGGTCGTGTTTGTCACTATATATATTTACACAGTGAAAAGTCCATAATCAGTGGCGGATTTACCAGCAGGCTTAGTAGGCTGGAGCCTAGGGCGGCAGATTTTTGAGATGGCAAATTTCAGGCATTTTTTTATATCTTACACAAATTAAATAGATTTAAATTTTAAAAGGAAAGCTAAAGAAATATTTTCTGCCATTATCTCGGAAGTCGGAACTCAAAATACTTTTCGTTCCTTGCTCTGCCCACTCTTTAAATTTACTGACAACCGCGGCTGCATGCTGAATGTTGCACATAAGTTTGTCGCTTCTTCATGTTGCTTCAAGAAATTAACTTTTGTAAGTTCTACACAACGCTGGAAAAAATAATGACTTAAATCAAGAAAGGGAAAACGCTAAAGACAGTAAATCTGTCACGTTGGCCAGCTAAAGAGGACACATGTGGAAGTTTGATAAATTCTTGGTACGATGTCCTTAAAACTTTGGAATCAATCAATCAAAGGTGTTATAATAATTCCGAAATGCCTGTAACGCGAAACGAAGCGATAGGAATACTTTTAAATTTAGAAAACTTAAAATGGCGGTTGTTAAAGTGAATGTTCAAATTTAGTTTTTTTTTTTGTTTTATTAAGAACAACAAACAGTTGTATAATAAAAAATACAATTCAAACCTTATGTAAATAGATAAACTAATTACACAAACAACACCATTATCCACAAAATACCATAATAATTAAAGTTATAAGGCACAGAGAACACAAAAATAAAAAATAAATAAAAGAAACTAGAGGCCACAATGCATACCTAGCCGTTAACAACAGAATCATGAATATTACACATGTATTACATAGAAAAAATAAAACAATTTATATTAACGTTATAAGATAATAAGAAAAAAATATATAAAAATAAAAATGACAAGTTATTCAATACAAGTTTTAAAGCTTTTCTAAATTGAGGTAGGGACACATGATAAATAAGTCTACATCGGAGAAGCTGTTAAACAGTTCCATTATGCGACGCAAAGGCGCACGTTTGCGCACGTTTGCCCGCATTTGTTTTGCACAGATTAAGGAAGAACAAACGATGCACGTGAGAGTTTCGTATTCTCTGCGAGCGACGTGGTACACGAAGGTATATACAATTGACAAATTGAGAGCAATCGCAAAAGTTACGAAAAATTTTGTAAAGAAAAGTACAATCAAGCAATAATCGCCTATTACTTAAAGTTGTTAAATAGTATTTATGCAAGAAGGACCAAGAACAGTAACATCTGTACTTTACAAAGCGTAGATACTTAGCTTGAACCGATTCTAGTAAATCACGATATCTTTGGTAAAAGGGATTCCAAATTTGTGTGGCACACTATACTTCTATAGTAGATTTGATTTTTACGAATCTCTTTGCAAGTTTTTCGTAGCTGAACGAGAAAGTTTTAAGTAGTAAAGTTCAGCCTATATACGTCCCACTGCTGGGCACAGGCCTCCGCTTATTTCTGCGAAGGTTTTAAGGCAAGGAAGTGTCCACCGCGCTACCCCAATGCGTGTTGGCGAACTTCACATGTCTTCGAAATGATTTCTTATATTTACGCGAACACTACACATTGAAATAATACTAGTTTTTACGGAATTTATCGCGTATATTTACCTTTTTAAATACCCGACGTTTCGAACGCTTTACAGCACCCATGGTCACGGGAGAGACTGAGATGTTCAACGTCCAGATGCCATAGTTATATATATATATATATATATATATATATATATATATATATATATATATATGTGTGTGTGTGTGTGTGTGTGTGTGTTTGTGTTATAGTTAGTTAACTATGACATCTGGACGTTGAACATCTCAGTCCCCCCGTGACATGGGTGCTGTAAAGCGCTTGAAACGTCTGGTATTTAAAAAGTTAAATATACGCAATAAATTCCGTATAAACTAGTATTATTTCAAATTTCAATGTCTTCGAAATATTTTTTTCTTATTTCTCTGACATATACCATGTTTTCCTTCACCGCCGAGCACGTGGTAAATCAGCACTTAAAATTTCAATTAACAATTTCATTGGTGCCGGCGGGGATCGAACCCGGGTTACTCGCGTACTGGGAAATTTACAGCGAGCGCTAACCATCTGAGCTACCACGGCTCTAAGTTTAATAAGTATTTCGAAGAAAAGGCGGTGCCATTAAGCGTATCGGTTCAGTATACAAAAGACATGGGAATAAAGACAATCGAAAAGGAAAAAAAAAATCAAACACCCGATGAAAAAATGAAAATAACTACGAGTTATATTTTTTGGGTTATAATATTTCTCTTCCTCATTGATAGACTCGTATCCGAAATAGAAAAGCGACTGGAGGCCTTCTACAGATTCAGTAAAAGTTTTTGTTTTTGAAGCAAAATGAGTAAAATATCATCAACTCTTACGGAAAAAGCCTTTTTTCTAGGAAATGGAGTAAGAGGAGAGGATTATAGAACTTTACAAAAATCTACCCCTATTATAGTCAACCAAATCTAAGAAATATCTTTTGACAGCTGTCAGATTTACTGCACCAAGCATGCCAACCAAAAAATGAGAACGCACAATAATCGATTCTTAAAAAATCGATATCGATTATTTAGAGTTGGTAATCATTCACAGTTAGGTTTAAATAATACCAGAATAAATTAGAAACGTATAATTTAAAACAAAAGATTTATCATTTTCTTCGTTTGTTGTAACTGCTTATGTCTAGAGGAAAAGTCATAAAAAATTAAAATTGAAAGTAGATCAAAAATAAATTTATTCAATCACTCACTACTACTAGTTGAGCTGTCGTTCTTAAGATTAATTATTATTTGATTTTCAATAATGCAATTATTAATAACAAATCAAAATTAATGTCTCTTTTAAAGTCACCCATAATCATGTTTTTTGTTTTTTCTACCACTTTTGCCCAATCATCCTTTGTGACATGGGTACATGCTTTCTTGAGCAAACCATCCATCTTCTTCGTCGTGAAAGGTGGCTTGGTGTTGTGTCGTGCTCATTGCCTGTAAAAAAGCATAAGATATTTTCATTTTGTGTGTGTTTGAGTAAAGTTAATATGTTTTCACTTTTCATATAAGAACTAGCCTTTGATTTGGGCCCAAATCAATTCAATAGCATTATATTGTCAATGGTATGGTGGTAATCTTATAACTTTATGCCTGTGCTCTTCTGCTAATTTATCAATAACATATAAAGGTTTACGTGGTTTATTTTGCTTTACTAATTGTATTAGCTCAGCTTTCAATAACTTCATGTCCGCTTCCACACATTTTTGTTGCAGCCATGCTATTAAATCTGCTTTCTTATTCGCTTGGGTCGGGGCTTTGTGGTACAGGGCGTTGTCCACTATTATGCTGCTATTCGCAGGAATATTTCGTAAAAGGGTTATAAACCACTCTTTGCATTTTTCTGCATCCATTTCCTCATGGTAATCTCTTGTACTCTTTGATTGGAAGGCTAATAAACAATTTTGTACCAATCCTCCTCCCGCATGGCAAACTATGAGGCGCCCACCTTTCCCCACGGGCACCTTAGAGCAAGTTGCTGTATTGTCAATCTGTCCATATTTGCGCTACAGTGTGGTTGGCGTTTAACCACGTTTCATCAAGAAATATGACGTTGTCCCAGTCGTTTATATTTTTCATTTCTCTTAAAAATGTTATTCTTTGCAAGACTATGTCATGTCTCTCCATAATTATTTTACGTTTGTCAAGTTTTTTTGTATCGAAAGCCTATGCGTTTTAAAATGGTTCTCAATGACTCTACACTACCACTGTACAAACCGGCATCTATTAAACTTACTTGCAACTTCGCCACAGTAGGATATTCGCGTTTTATGAAATAGCCGTAGACATGTTTTCTAATTGCATCTGCGTCGAATTGATCGATACCTGTTACTGGTTTGTTCTTTTTTCGTTTTTTCGGCGTGTGAAGTAAATTATTCTCACTGCCTGAAAGTCCGTACTTTTCAGTGACGATCTTTGCAACGGTGCGTTTGCCAATACCGAGTGCTTCACCGACACGATCTAGCACTTATGTCACTGGTAAAAGAGGCCCACCGTTTTGTGACTCACGTTCAAAATATTCGTGTAATTTCACCACCAATGCACGAGCTTGACGGTTTAAAGTACGACTACCACAACTACGTTTTCTTTTCGACATTATGATCACTTGCTTAGTCAGAGTCCAGTATATAAATTGCCAAGGTCAACGAATATAGAAGAAACGGTCCAAAAAGTTAAAGCCGGGTCACAAAATAAGAACACAAACACAAAATCAAAAAAACTACGGACAGTAAACTCCCAAAATGGCGGGAATGTTGACAAATTAAAAAAAATAAACTTGTTTTATTTATGATTCATGTAATTGGAATTTTAAAAATAAAATAAAATAAAACAAATAATACATTCAAGAAAATTAATAATTCGATTATTTGAATATTTTTACCTATTATTTGAATATTTTTGCCGATTATTCGTATAACAATGAATTTTAATCATCCAAGCACTACGGTGATCTACATAGCGACATATCATTGATATGACGTCAAGTAAAAAAAGTTGATACTGGCTATTTTTTAATATTTTGCTTTGTTTGAAAAATTTAAATTTAAATTGGTGATAAAAAAACTATACACGTTGTAAAGAAATATAGATAACTTCATAATTCTTTGGATTTACGTAAAAGGTTATTTTTAATTGCGTGAGTACGCTTGTGCAAAGTTATTGCAGAATGATTAATGTGAAACGTCAAAAGGTATTTCTTAGATTTGGTTGACTATAATCATTTATATACAAAGTATAAAAAATTGTCTGTTTAATCATTGTGTCCGGGTTAGTAATCCCACAAAAATATAGTGAGATCAGATACATACAAAACTGCTTTACGTACTTTCTGAGGCATAGGGATGAAATACTGCTAAACACTTGACTCCGGGCTACTAGGCTACTACTGAGAATTTCTTGATAGAAAACCCAACTGATTTTAAGCCCGATTATACCTATTACTTAAAGGTCAAAAAACTTTCCTAGGTTGGGTTTAGTTTTATTTTTTATTTGTTTGAAGGTTGAGACAAAATATAGATACTTGCGCAATTTTTGTTTAAAAATTATTTTGTTAGTGTAGGTACTTAGTTTTAGGTAGGCATTGGGTGCGTTTGGCAGAAAAAAGCGCTAGCAAGCGCTTGTAAGCAAAATGGCGATCGTAAGCGGTAAGCGCTGTCAAATCGTAGGTAGCTATTTTCCTCCAGGACACGATGTTAGTTTAATCCGGGGGACCTAACCTAATTTAAATATATGTTTGTAAAGTATTCATATTAAAAACTTACCAATCATGAATTTTTAATAACATGTATATTTATTCAAGTTATTATATTACTTAAAACTAATATTGCACAAAACAACTTATAAACTCTACTTCAAAATAAACAAATTAAATAAGCAAAATGGCGGATTGTGTCAGCGCTACTGAAGTAGTAATCGTGTCCTGGCCGAAAACTATTTTAGCGCTTGTAAGCGCTTGCTAGCGCTTTTTTCTGCCAAACGCACCCATTGGATTGTAGTTTTCATTTCAAAATTTTTATTCAATATCAGTAATTAGTGATGGTGCTCGCTTATTTAGGGCTTATTTGTTGTATGGAAACCAAGCATTGCGGTAATTTTGTTGTTTATTTACAAAATAAAACTCAAGCATACAGTTTGCCCTATTTGTTTCTTGGTTCGTTTGTAGGTCCGTTTATTTGTGTTATTGTCTGATTGACCGACTAACTGAATTTTTTTATCTAGATTAGTGTCTTTCTAAGTCTTCGCGGCAGTTTATTTTACAAATAAATCATCATTACATAGAATAGCAAAAGTACTGATTCCACGCGAACAAAGTCGCGGGCACAGCTGGTATTGAATAAAACTATATTTACGGATTTTATCGCGTTTAATTAACTACTTTTACTTATTTTTAATTCCCGACGTTTCGTACGCTTTACAGCCACCATGGCCACGGGGGGGACGGCGATGTTTAACGTCCCAATTAAACGCGATAAAATCCGTAAATATAGTTTTATTCAATGTGTAGTGTTCGCGTAAATTTAAGAAATCATTACATACACACATACCTTAACCAGCCTTATTAGTAGGTAGGGTAAAGGCGGGATAGATGCCCCACTTTTTGAAATATCCTCCTAATTTAAAAAGAAACAATTTTATATAATGTCTACGAATTTAGGTAGTTTAATCCTTTATGTTTAATTGTGATATGTATTTTTGGCCCTACAAATTACAGATTTTGCAAATTTTTAGTTTTTGTGGAACTCCTTTTTTGGGGATAGATGCCTACGCGTATGGATAGATGCCCCACAATGAAAATACGAAGAGGGATAGATGCCTGCGGCGCGGGATAGATGCCCTTCATACTGTATAAACGAAAAACTCAACCAAACTTTTGGGTTTTGAGGACAAATAGTGTTTTAGCAGTAGAAAGCTACTCCTAAAACAGAAATTGTTTCCAAGAAACGTGGGCCTAATAATGAAAAGCATTATGCAGTTTTTAATAAATTTTTTTCAACTGTCATCGTTAGCATATAGTTCTACATAATTTGAGATCAAATAAAATAACCATACTTAATAAAAACATTTGTTGAACAAAAATAAAAATTATAAATTCTTCTTATTAAATATAGGTAGACCGCTCTCATGTGCCCCGCAGGCGGAGTCGCAATGAAGCGGTTGTGTGCTTCGTTGTTGTTCCAGTGTCTGCTTCGTTGTATTTTTAGCAGCATCACGTCTTCGCAAAGTCCTTGATGGAATCCCAAATTGTCGGGATATTTCTTTTATCCCCATTGTATTTCTATTAATTTCGTCGAAAGCCGACTGCAATTTTTCTGTAGTCCAAGAACATACTCGAGCTAGAACTCCTTCCTTTCTTTCGTATTTTCGTGGCATGGTTCTGCTACAATCAATAAAAAGTGCAAATACAAATATATGTAAACACACAAAAATATGTTCAAAATATACCCTAAAACCACATATGGGTATACATGGTGTATGGAGAGATAGATGCCCCTAGGGGCACCTATACCTCGAAAAATCAGGCCAACTATCCTTTTTGATCGGGATAGATGCCCAAGTATTTTTTAATAAATAAAAAAACAAAAGAGCAACTGTTTACATCTAGATGCATACTTGATGAATCAGTTTATTGACGTAATAAATAATATTAATGGAATTAATGACTATTTATAAAGCTATAGAACAGCAAATACTAACCTTTAAAACTTTGACGTGTTTGTAAAGTTCGCCGCGGAAATGAATGCACACACAAGCGTAACACATCCTCACCATACGATGGCCCGTGGCTAACAGAGGTGCAGGGTGGGCTGCGGCTCTTAGTTATACTATTATTTCTTATTCGCGAGTTTGGGAAGTTAGGTTTTTTGAAAATGGGGCAACTATCCCACAGGGACATCTATCCCGCCTTTACCCTTACATTATTGAGCTTTTATTAGCTCGGAAATATTCCCAGAAACTATTTCTTGTGCAATTGGGTTATAAAAATAATCCAGGAACTGACACATCGTGCTCCTATTCCACAATCATACTAATTATCTAATTACGGTAAAAAGGTGGTGTAACTAAGACGATAGCAAATTAGTAATGTCATAATGTGAATGTGATGTGTATAACACAATATCATTGACAAAAATAATTTCATAGCCTGACCTTACTATTCCTGACCTTACTATTTAAAGCAATAAGTTATTTCGAATAACCCACAAAGGCAACAAGCTCCACCCTTTTCATACTACATGGGGGAACAGCGCGTACGCAGTTCCCACTACCAAAAATTACGCGTCCGAGTTATCCACATTAGGGATAATCGCAGGGGTCAACCTAACCGCAGTGCAATGGAAAGGCCTCGCCCTGGGGGAACCGCCTTCCTGATCACGGTATCCCCTACGCCAGGTAAGTATGCTTTGGTTTCCTCACTAAGCTGTACTCATTCATTTGCAGAAAATCTCAACACCGCGAGTTAAGAAAAAATTCGCGGCATCTAGTGGACAACATTTGAACCACGTACATACAACTGGTTTGTACAACTATATAGCCTAACCGCATTTTATATAGTTACTCATAGATAGCGCTTTTCTTGATACTGAACAATAAAAAAACCCATATTATTTTTCTAGAATTAGAAGACGCACCTAAGTAAAAATAATCATCATAAATTGCGCTGATTCATAACTTTATTTTTTTCCATTTAGGCAATATGTACTATTTTATTTATTTATTTATTTCAGAGACATGGTTCAATAAGTTGTTGCATTATAATTTTTAGGATCATTTACATGTCTTACCGGTGTGGCCGAGGTAGGCAAATGGGGGCGCTGTTGTCGCGCCACACCGGTATAGGCGTAGAAACAGCACGGTTATCAATTATCAGTCAGCAATAAGATGTCAATATAACAATGTTATGTCAATCTAAAAACAATAATTACAGCACTATTCAGAAGAGTAATTGCATACATTTGAAATTAGTAAAACATTGACATTTTTAAGACGGCGAAAAGACCCAGTATATTTATGAAGTTTTAACACAATCCCAAGAAGGCTGTCTAAGTTACTAAACAACACTAATATAAAATTGAATTGCAGAGAGAGAGAGAGAATTGTTGGGTGAAGACGCCCTACATTAAATTGTATCGACCAAATTGACGATATATTAAAGATGGGACAGATTAAGAGTGCCCTTGACCGACGATTATAATATGGAATATGGATGTGTAAAGGAGACGACAGGTGTGTCAGGATCGTGCCAAATGGAAGTCCGTGGTCTCTGCCTACCCCTCTTTTTGACAGGCGTTAGTGTTTATGTATGAATTGTTGAATAACCATTAACTATAAATATTATTAGAACTATTTTGTTGCACATTCCACTTTTTACAGCGCAGACAAGTCAGGAGTGTAGGGCACTATCTTAATTCTCAGTAAAGACAAGGTACAACACCTATAGTTTTTTAATTGATGTTTGAAGACTTTAGTTTTACAACTTATGGAGTGTAAAAAAGTGTTTGAATATGAAAATGAGGTTATATCGGGTTGGCTAGACATCCGGTACTTGATTTTGATAATGTTTTTAGTCTAGGAGGCTTGTTAGGGTTAAGCTTAAACCTATTACATATAATAAAAAGATAAAAAACAAATTTCACCAAAAATAGTCTAATAACGAAAGGCAAATATGTCAATTTGTTCTTGTATTATGAAGTAGATTTCCGGTAGGTACTCGATTTTTTAATTTTGTTTTCAATTTAGGAGGATTGTCAGGGTTAAGCTCGAACCATTTACACTGTTTTTGGATTTCGGAAATGCCTTTTGAATTAATTACGATAAAAATAAATTCCACTTACAATTGCATATAACGAAACGCAAATATGTCAATTTGTTTTTAACACTCATAAAAAAGTTAATCACTCAGACCCAGACAATGCATTGTGGAGATGGCCTTATACAACAAATTGAGTTGCAGTGGAAAGCAGTCAAGAGGTTTTTCGGAAAACAAAATTATAACAATTCACATTACATTATTTCATTTACCACCCTAGTAGCAGAGTTAAGAGCAACTAGACTTTATAACTAGATAAAATTGGTCGAATCGGTTCTAAAACCGAATTAGCACACCCCGACTCCACATATTCTTATCTGCCCTACCCCTAGAGTGTTTTTATAAAGCCGTAGGCACGTAGGGAGAGCAGCCCCCGCCCGCCGTACGTAGGGAGAGCAGCCCCTGCTCGGCTCCGCAACTTCGGCTTATTGGTCGCCTTTGGCGACCAGCCTCAGCCGCTACGGCTTGCTTAGGTGCCTGCGATTTGCTACGCAAGGGCGAAGGGGCTGCACTTCCCGCAGTGCCGAAGCCGTTGCAAAAGTAACTGCATCAATATTCCTGTATAAAGTGAGGTTATGATTTTACAAAAAAGGTGACCTCCCCCAGCCCCCCCTCCACTCGGCGACCATATATTCATGCGGCAGATTACTAAAAAAATTCATTAAAAAAGGGGGGGGGGGGTCCGGCACTTAAACCTTTTAGGGGGAGATTTCTACCCCTCCGCCCCCTCTACCCGCCCACTCGGCAACAATAAATTCGTGCGGCATACTACTAAAGAAATACCAATTTGATAAATAATCAGTGAATAAAAATGTTTAACTAAAAATTCAGTGTATGTATTATGATTATAACATAATATACTAATTGGGGTGTCTGAGGGTGTGCGTTAATTACGTTACATATTGTATATATTAAGATAAATTACAAAATTCCTTAAACACAATATAAAGATGTCAATACAACTGCTACTCGTAATAACCATTATTAGCTGGTAGGGTTCTTTCTCCTTAGTAGCCCATCTAGGAAGGTTTTTTTTTAAACATTACCCACGCTCTAGGATTTTCTCCTGTATCATGCAGGCAGTTTACATACCTACAAAAACTGCACAAGTGCAAACATCTAGATCTGGAACAATTATTTGTAGGCCATACATATATTTATTCCATGCGGGATTTGAACCTCGCTGCCCTCACTAACGCAACTCAATGCTAACCTACAGCATGGAACCGTCAAATGTAGATTAGCAGAGCACCCACTGTTATGTTCAGATTTAAAGGACACAAGAGCCAATTACTTAAAGGCTTTGGACCAATATGGGCTCGTTGCTGTGTAGTGGTAGTGCAGTAAAAGATAATCCACTTCTCTAAACCATCTTATGGGTGTTGTATGAAGCGATTGAGATGAAACAAACAGAAGAAGGCAATGGCGACTCCTTGTTAACAACTAAAAATAATAAAAAAATTGCAGCTGCTAACATGCCTGCCAACATGCCCAAGTTAATACGTGGTAGAGCCATGCTGCAGTTATATTAATAGTATAGTTGTAGCACGAATGAGTTCGGCTCTAGTGCTCTCACAAATTACCAGCGTGAAATAGTAGCTTAATGCTCCTGTGTTTCATATTGTCAGTGTAGATAACCAGAGACCATTTTTACTAAAAATGAGGAATTCCATCTTAGTCCTCACGGGTGACATTGCATCTGCATTTTGATTTGTAATCGAGGATAGATGTAGGTGTTTATGGGCCGCAGCATCCACTTACTATCAGGTGGACTGTGTGCTCATTTGTCACCCTATCCTATAAAAAAAAACTGTGTCCAAAATCCTCCTATTGGGAAGGCCTATGTACAGCTGTGAACTTTTGATAGGCTGTAATGAAAGAATGGGCCAATCTATTCCTCAAATTTGATAGAGTATGTGTCCTTTTTTAAAGTTATTGTGCATGTGACCATGTGCTACAACTATCACACATATGTAGCACCACTAGCACCATCTGCCCTCTGATGATTTTTAGTGGTGAGACACAAGATACACATCCCTAAATGACATTGAACTCCACCTTCTCAATTGACACTAAAGAGTCTGCCGCAAACATATCATGCAGTCAGAAATAGAAGTAGTAGGCACTTTTTGGCCCCCACAGATCTGGCCTATGGCTCCACTGCTAACCATGTTTCATAGTAGCCACTTACCATCAGGTGGACTGCAATGACATTTATCACTCTAATGATATTGAACAAACCTAGGTTTACATTTTATTATAATACCCAAGATTTTGTATGGTCTTAGGCTTGAAAATAATGCTCTGAAATATACTCAGAAAATAAGAGCTTAGATTCTTGCTACACATCTAAAACATTACTTGCCTGTGTATACTATGCAATTTAACAATATTAGGATGGTTGCGAAATGACTGCAAAAATATAATTTCTCTAAAAGTTCTTTGAGCATCTGTTTGATTCCGGAATGCATCAAATATCTTTTTAATGGCCACCACATCCTTAGTCTTCTTATCTACTGCTTTCCAAACTATACCATAAGCTCCTTTTCCTAGTCTCTTTTTTATTTCAAATCTTTTTAGTATATGCTCGTCGATTTCCGACATATTTTTTTCGGGACTCTTCTTCTGAGTCTGCTTTTGACATTCTTTCGTTTTATAATCTTCCTTTTTAATATTTTGATTCGAATTCATTTTATAAGCACGAACACGTCTATCAGTTCTAAAATCGAAAATTGCAAGTTAAAGATAGGGTACATAAAATACAGAACCCTATATCGAAACATACGAATTTAAATTAGGTAGGATTAGTACAAGCTAATTTGAATAACAGAAAGAAAGTGCTTGACAACAGTCATTTAAATAATATTGATTATATCGGCACACTAAGCAACCGTGATCGATGTCCTTTAATGAATTCGGAAGTTATTATTTTTCAATTAGTAGTTATCATTTTTCAAAAATTAACAATGCTAATGTGTAAATACATACATACAAAACAGAATAATTCCACTGTTGCCATTGTTTCTTTAAATTACAGTGCTTAAATTATTTTTTGTAGTAAAAGGCAAAACATGTTGTACAAATTCGCGTTCTATCAATTTCATTTCAAACATTCATTTGTTTACGTTTTCAAACACAACTATCAGTTACTACGGCAACCTCCTTGTCAACTGTACTTTTTTTTGCTTATTAAAATAGAGTAGCAATTAATCGATTTTTACACTATAATAAAAGATTGAGGTCAATTATTGATTTCGGATGATCTTTTCAATCTTTTTAAAAAAGTTTATGGTGTGTGTTTATTGTTTTCTTTTTTATGGGGAAATATAATCTCAAATGGTCTAGCAAGATCCTCCGTTATGCCGAAAATATTGCAGCATTAATTTTGAAATAAATATATGGTAAAGTTGAGGATTAATGTTAAGGATTATGTTAGACGAAAACACGATTCCGTAAAATTTTCTCGATAGAAAAAAAAATCCAAAATTATCTCCAAAATAAACAATAAACCGCTGTTATTCATAAAATACTTTAAATAAGATCATGAAACTTTGCATACTAACTGAACTAACTATAAAGCAGTGCTTATGTTATTTACTTTTTTTAAATACCATTATTTTCACTGTAAAAAGAAATCACCTAAACTATCGGCCTCTTGAAGCGTGATTCCTGCCGCCCGGTCAGTTTCGCTTCGGCCTTTGAAGGGGGAGGTTGTGTCGCTTACGATCAGAATACACATTAAGCAACAGGACGACGTAAAATTAAAATGGGAAATAACCGTAATAAAAATAAGAAGCGACTGGCTTGGCGTTAAGAAACAGGCATAAATATGATAAACCTAATGAAATAAGTGTCTAACAACCTATCTACTTACGGTAATAGTGATTACAAACATGTCGGTACATAGCATACCACGCGCGAGCAAGTGGGGGCGAAATTAAATTTGAGCTGACTTACTATATCCCCTTAAAACTCAGTTCCTTTTCAGCACGAAACAATTAATCACAAATATTTAGTTTTCTCTAATGTGGTCTTTCAAAAGTCCACTGCTGAGCATGGGCCTTCCCCATAGATTGCATCATAAGATGTACTTTTCCATAGTTGCCAAGCTTGACAGGAGGCTAGGCTTGGCAGTTCTTTGTTATTTTCGGTAGTCATCAAAAAGATGCTGCTACCCATTTCCTGTTTTATTTCCTCCCCGTCACCTCGACACCCATGCGATAATATGAGGTAGTGGATATTCCACAGAGTACCTTTATAATATATATTGAGAATATTATTACACAGACACTACACAGCGAATAGAATTTGGTCATTAAGTACGATAAGTAATGTAGACGATTGATTTTCAAAATGAACTTTATTTAAGCTTAAGTATTATAAAAATTCAAATGTTATTTGTCGATTAATACTGTTTATGAATATTTGTAATTAACCTTAATAAAAACATTTCAATCTTATTTATTTAATAGGAATTACTTGAAATATAAAGACACTTCACTTTTAATGTGCGTATCATAAATAGTAATTATTGATTAAGTAGAACGGTATTTTAGTGGAATTTGAATGTAGAAATAACTACCTAAATATTATAAATTCATTAGGGCTGCGGTAGCTCCGTTCCACAAACTGCACAGTAAGCGAGTAACCCGGATTCGTTCCCGGTATGCACCAATTAATTTATTGATTGTTATTTTTAATTCTGATTCACCACAAGCTTGATCGTAAATGAAAATCTTGTAAGAAAACATCCATGTTTAGAAAAAAAATTTAAAGACATGTAAAGTCATCCAACGTGCATTGAGGGTAGGGGGAGGGGCTGGCACATTTTCTTCTCCCTAAAATCCCTTTCAAAATGAGATGGGGACTGTACCCAGCTGTGGAACATGTATGTATATAAGCTGTAACATTACTTTTTCGTTTCAGTAATCTACTTGTTACAATTTTATATAATAATATAGTTAAAATGACTAATATTACACCCTATGTATTTTATATATTGTATTGCAAAAGTTGATATATTGAAACAAATAACTTTCATTTAATTTAATACACATTAAATTTCATGAGCTAACCTTTTTTCCTTATCCTCTTAATATAACCATAAATATTATTAACTTAACTTTAAGAAAGCAAATATCGTTGTAGTAAGATTCGTTTAGATCAAATTCAAAAACTTCAACAAGATGGAATTTAATTTATATTAACAAAATATTGAACTAAGTTTTTCAATAACAATTAAAACGAAACCCTTAAAGATAACGACAAAAACTATAAATAGTATCACATTTAAAACCTAACCCTTACGTGTATATAACTTTGATTAATTATTTTCGACTAATGTCAAATAACAATATGTATCTAACTGGCCTTCTAAAAACTGCGAAGGCACATAGAACAGTAATTGTTTTATTAAGTAAAATTGATTTAAGGTAGGGGAGGATGAATTTTTTTCTTTTCTTCAGCATCCAATCGTCCCTGATCAACTGATGACGGTGTTGGTAGACCACATGGCAATTCGAGCATATCGGATTCATGGGACATAATGTGCTCAGCTTCCACTGTAATAATAAAATAACACTTTTTTATAAAGCGCGATGATTCTGATCTGATCAACAGATTTTTTTCATAGTTTACCAACTGCTTACTTCTAATTCTGTGCACTTTGTTTCCATATGCAAGATCCCAATAGTATAGGTTTACAAACGTTAGAGGCACTAAAGGTGCCAGAAGATAAGGTCTTTTTGTTCTCCTGAAACTGGGAAAATCTTTATCAGTATACTAAAGCACAAGCACATGTTTAGAAATTTTTAATTTTGATAATAATAATATTTATTTTATTATATCGTATTATCTTTAAAAAAATCAGTTCCGCTTGTAATGTATATATTAAATTTTAATCAGGATTTAAGATAAAAGATGCAATTGAAACCGGAACCGAATCACATCTTTAGGAAATTTAAACCAAAATACAATAAAAAAAATCCTTTCTGATCTAAGAATAAAAAATATATTAATGAATATCTCATGCAGGATACCCTCAAGAACACTAAATAGAATAGAGCCTGCCATTGTACTGGTGCTCCAATATTTTATTGTATATATATATATATATATATATATATATATATATATATATATATATATATATATATGCGCGCGTGTGTGTGTGTGTACCCTCAACACCATATTAGTGGCATGAACAGGTAAGATACTACCCATACGACCTCCAAGGCAGAAAAAAAGTCGCACCACTAGTAAGACATGATATTTAGTCGACCATTCAGTATTAAAACAGTGTTATAAATATATTTTCTGCTGTCACTATTGCAGAAATATGGGTATAGCTGCCATTGATTCTAGCCTCTACTACAATATGGTTTAGTGATCAGCGAATCTGCTGTCTTTTTTTGTCTTAGGTTCCAATTCTAGCTAACATGCTTACAGTTACTCGCTATTATTTACAGACAAACTATTTGTGATCTAAATCAGCTACTTCTATAATATATATCGTAGTTACAAAATATAATATTGTTAATATTGCTTCAACCTTACCCAGTGAGCAAACCTGTAGCGGCTGTTATATTAAATGCAGAAAACCAAAGAAAAATATCCCGACTTCTAGCAATTTGGAGCGCTTTTTGTCTTTCTTGCATTTGATACTGCAGTTGAATTTGCCTTTCCATCTAAAAACCAATTGAGTTAATATCTGTTGATTATGATTAAAATATTGTTATAGTTTTTTTACTTACCGCAATCTCATTGAGGTTTTGTAAGAATTTTTCATTTTTTTTATAAAATTCTTCTAAGTTAATCGATATTAATCCACCCATTTTAATACAGTAAAATAAATTTAAAAGCTAAAACAAAACACTCCGTATATATATATGCTTATAATTACGATTTTATATAATAATACACGGAGTTATTAGATTAAAAAAAAAGATTTCCCTAAACACAACACAACCAACCTACACAGAGTTACTAGAGATACTAACCACAGAGTACTTTATATATACCCGAAAACCGAAAATACTAACCACAGAGTACTTTTTATATACCTGTAAGATACTAACATACTGTTACTAACGATGATCTGCCTGATGAAAGCGTCCCCGTGCAAGTCCCGAGCGTGTAGTAGGAATGTGATCCCAGGCGTGTAGTAGGCACAGAATACTATTACTCCTATCGGAGGTAGTAGGACTGTGGTCCCAAGCATGTAGTAGGACTGTAGTCCCGAGTAATATTTTTTCTAGTTTTCTTTCTTTCTGCCGGTAGTGCGCCACTAACCACTATGAACGACTTCATTAGAATCATTCGATTTCATAAATCATTCGACTATTTTGAATGACGACCCAAATGTCAGCGACAAATGAAAGCATGGAGGCTAGAGAACAGGAGAACGATAGCTACGTACTAAAGCATAGCCCGCCTGTCCTTGAAAATTTGTAGAATTTAAAGTGGCGCTGCCGTCGGTGAGTACTGGCTACGAAGTTAGATGTTTATGAGAAGAAGTAGATGAAGTTAGTTGAATAATGTACAAATTTTCTTCGCGGAATTGGTGAGAAAATATTCATGCTCCGTAATTTTTTATTTTTGACAAAAAGAAACATTAAAAATTGAGAAATATTTTATTGTGCTTGAATGTGCATAAATAGGCATAAACAGGTGCATCTGATCGGAAAAATAGA